ATTGCCCTCTTTAAACAACAGAAAAGATATCAACAGAGAACAGCTCCCACAAAAATTAAATCAATATATTACAAGGAGACCCAAAAAGCTGAAATGAGACACATGACAGCCAAAGACAATAATGGCTTAGAGTATAAATTCATTTGGAAAACCAAGAGCCAGCATTATCTCTAATGGGGATAAGCGAGAGACTATTCCAATAAGATCAAGGGTAAAACAAGTATCAACATTACTATTCAATATTATGCTAGAAATGCTAGCTACAACAATAAGAGAAAACAAATGAAAAAGCAGAGGCAAAGAGAAAATAAATTATCATTTTTTTATTAAACATTAGGAAAAAATGGAAGATCATAAACAGTACCAGGAATATGCAAATGATCAATTTTGTGATTTACTTGTAGCCTAAGACTCATAAGTTAAGTGACTCTGCAGAGGCTAATAAAGATAAGCATCTAAGGCAGAATTAGAATCCAGGTCATCCAGCTCAGCAGTCTACACACACAGCATTGTGAAGCCTCATAAAAAGCAAGAGTAGTAGAGGCAAAAACTCTTAGGAAATCACAAGTCACAAACCAATAAGAACCCTTATGAGAAAACTGGAGGAACAAATTGAAGAAAAATGGAATAAATTTGCAAGCATTTTTATAATGAACTATTTTCATCATTTATTTCAATGGAATAACTGTTTCTACTCTAACACCTTAGTTATTGATATGCTATATGAGGAAGAGAAATGTCATTTATAAAAACAAAGTAAAAGCAACTCGAATGGGCTAAGTACAGAAACCATATTAGAAACAACAATTTTAGAAAGATTTAAGGATTGATTTTTTAAAAATAGTAATAAGAAACCAAACAACTGAAAACAATGACATAATATCACTACTGAAAAACGTGATTTCTTCCTAAAGTGCAAGTATGACTATGTTACTCGCCACTGAACAAACTCCAATGGTTCCACATATGTTTCTTAAATTAGCTCCAGACTCTTATTTGGCATTTATAGTCTTTCCCAACCTGGACCTAACCTTATAAATATATTAACTTTCTTCACACACTCTACAGTCAAGCCAAAATGGCCTGTGCATAATTTAAGATAAGACAAAATTCCTTAACATAAATCCCAGAAAGAGCTATTCAATGCTCCTTTGACAAAATCAAGGAAAACATAAAATAGGAAAATGTATGTTCACCCAAGGTCTTCACTTCTATCATGAAGAATGTCCTCAGTGAAGTCCAAACGGACGAGGTATTCCGTTATAGAAAGTAAGATTCTTTGGATACTCCTGTTCAAAGAATTACATCAAGTAATAAGTAATTAGATCAAGCCCCAGAACACTACAGGACCTCATCAATGAAATTAATGACCACTCAAAAGAGATCAATCTAACAACTTCTCCATGAAAAAATAAATGAATGAAGAATACCTACTGCCCAAACAAGCAGCTAGTTGGGGGGAATCTATGAATTAAGCCAACAGTGCACCTATCCTGAACTGCCAATGGAACAAACTTAGTGAAGAAATGAAGAGGAGGAAAACAGCAGAGCAGGTTAGATTGCATTTGGGAAACTACAGCATGGACATTATTTAATGATACCAAGCTATTCTCCCAAAATAAAAATCAGTCATCTGATGATCGTTCAAGCTGTGTGGCTGAGTTCTGCAAGGGAGAAAGAACATAAATAGAAGAATACCAAGGACTGAGCACTGGATAATGTTCTTAGGGAATAAGAAGAAAATAATACAAAGGAAACAAGTAGGTGGAGATATAGGTAGAGAACTAGGAAAGTATGATGACACAAAAAACAAGGAGATTTTTTGAAACTTTTCTTCAAAACAACTTAGTAGTTCACCTACTTAACACTTATATTCAAATGTCTGGATATCCTCAAGTTTATCAGCTTTATTTATATCTTAGATTGTAGAACAGGACAGCATGTCTACATTTCTCTTTATGTGACACCTGGTACAATGTCATTTGCAAATAGGTATTTAATAAAAGTTTTTATTGAAACTCTCAAGGTTCTTAGGCTAAAACCTAGGGAAGATATATCAAATAATCAAACCACAAAGGTAACAAATGCTGATGCAAATGCACATTACTACACTCCCTATACCTACATTTTCTGAAGTTTGCTCCCTTACCTCCCAAATTATCATACCTTATCTACTGAACTGTTTCTTCTATTTGGAAAACAAAACTAATTGATATGAAAGTGAATAGTTTTTGGGGCAGCTAGGTAGTACAGTATAGAGCACCAGCCCTGGAGTCAGGAAAACCTGAGTTCAAATCTGACCTCAGACACATAACATTCACTAGCTGTGTGACTCTAGGCAAGTCACTTAACCACAATTGCCTCACAGAAAAAAAAAAGTGAATACATTTTTTAAAGTGACTGTTAACACCCCCCTCTCAATACTACCATTTCTTAATCTCCCAAATGCTAATAAAAAACCCAGGAGACTCAGAAACAAGGTAAAAATAGCCCCAATTTTAGACCCAAAGTCCACTAGATATACTGTTCTTAAGAAATCACTTCTATTCTGTGGATAATCCTGAGTCTTTATAATGGCTTTAAACATTTTAACATCACACCATGTCATGTGCAAACTAAAGCTAACTAAACTCAGGTGCCAGGTCATTATTTGTTTCCAGTTTTATCCCAAACTATGGAAGTAACAGAAAACAACTTTGTTTTTCCTGCTTATAGCCAGACAGCATTTACTGTCTTAATAACCTGAAAAGATAATGCCCCCAGGCCTAGCCAATTTCATTCAGTAGGACCAACATTACATTTCTTGGATACTAAAGAGGCTAGAGTTCTATTCCCCAAAGAAAGGGGCCATTGGCAGCCAAAGCTACACTCCAGCTCATACGAAGCCCAGAAAGTATTTTTTCTACATATGCTCAAGTCCTCTCTTTGAGCCATTCCAAATTATTATTGCAGGGTATTAGGAACAAAATTTGGAGGCCCCCCCTTGTGAATGGGAACCAATTCTGTAATGTGGTACGCTGTGTTCTCATTCTTCCTTTTGTTTTAAAATCAAACCAAACCAAAACCTACCACTTTTCCAGCTTTTGAATTTGGGGGATAGCTCTTAGACCCAAAATAAATTTGCCAAGCTCTCTATAAACACCCTCAAATATACCAATTAATTAGTACTTATTACACATGGTTCAGTCATTTGTACTTCAGTAAACAGTATCTCAGAGCCAGCTAGGTGGCATAGTGGATAAAGCGCCAGGCCTGGTGTCAGGAATAATTTATTTTCCTTAATTCAAATCTGGCCTCAGACACCTACGAGCTCTGTGACCCTGGGCAAGTCACTTAACCGTGTTTGCCTCAGTTTCCTCATCTGTAAAATGAGTTGGAAAGAAAGTGACAAACCATTCCAGTATGGGTTCTAGAAGGTTGTGTGCTATGGAATACAAGTACTAGAAGATAATACCAAAATGAAAGATCATCAAATTCTACCTGCAACAAGACTTTCTATCTTTAGTTTTAGGACCTAGCTAAATTCAGAAAAGTTCATCAATAAAACGTTGGTCACTACGTGATGAATTATTTTGACTACAGGGGCTAATCAAATTGTCAACAGAGAACTCCAATTGATCTTCAAAGGTAGAGACAATAATATGCTACCTAAAAAATGTGCTATCTAAAAGGGAATCCATGTCTGGGAAATGTGCTTCCTACATAAACAGAATGAATTAATTGATCTTTGCCAATACTGAAATAGTATAATTAGAACCTAACTCATTAAGCTTAAACTTCTTCTGAATAATTTTTTTCTTGCATAGAAGCTATACTCTTAAAAAAAAGAGAGGGGAGACTGGAATATTAAATTCCCATCACCATCAAATGAAACTAGTCTAGATGACCTCCTGCTGTTTGTACTTCCTTCTCCAAGAGGACCATGATATCAGGGAGATGATGCCATGACTTGCAACTGAACTGGATTTAAGTGAGGCAGGGCTGTGCAAAATCACCAGTCTCACTTCCTCCTCCGGAACCATCTGGGTCCAGTGGTGAGATACAGATCAGGACGACTGGAGATGGCCCTGGATGCAGTGGGGGCCCTTGCCTTTTTAAGCTAAGGTCTTTAACAGGTCTCAGTTTGACTGTGGCAGCGCCAATTCGGTGATTAGGGCTTAATTAAAAAATGATACAAAGAATGGCCTCTTTAAAAAAAAAAAATCTGGAAGGGGAAGACACTCAGGGTTTCTGGCCAAAACAGGAACATTTGTTATTTACATTCACTGTGAACCAATCAGGGCCCAAAGAGTGACCGAGTAGGGCTTGGTCTGGGACCAGAGTGATTTGGGGTTAAGCCTGGAGATGACCTCCTAGGACCCTTTCAACTGTAAATCATGTGATTCCAATCTGATTTTCCTGACTCAATTCAATTACTAACACTTATTAAGGTCACTTGCTAGGCCTCTGAGAGGGATACAAAGATTAAAATGAAACAGTCCCGGTTCTCCCTGAAGGAGCTTACTTACTTATATCCTACTTGGGTATGCAGATGGGCATATACAATTCTATCTGGGGAGAAATACAGTACCCACAAGAGGGGAGATGGAACAGGAATATGCTTCGCCCAGGAGATGCCCCTGAGTTGTGTCTTCCGAAGGCTCACTTCGTTCACTGTGTCCAGGTCCATCGACGCCGAGTCTCGCAGGGCTGCGAGATATGTCTCTGGCTCTACCGACAGGAAGGGCTCCCATATCTAACGGTTTGGTGGAGGGGGGGGGCGAGGAAGGAGGACGGAACTACTGGAAGATAGACCCGGAATTAAATAAAACCTTGTCACCGACGAGAGGCTTTGGGAAATAAATGCGCTCGGCCCCTGAAGGGAGTGGGGAGTGGGAGGTGGGGGGTGGGAGTGATGTAGGCCGCCCACCAGCATCTTCCCGAGCTGCACCGCAGAAGAGCCCTGGAGGGATGCCGCGGCTAAGGAGGCCCCCCCCTTCCCCGCAGTCGGCTCATATTACCTTCATGGGATCGGCGAGGTAGAGCTTCTCAGCCGCGCGGCTGAATTCTTCCCAGGTCTGGTATTGTGGCATAGTGGGGCCGGAGCGGCACGGGTAAGAAGAGGTCCAGCCTCAAAAGCCAAGACACCCAAAAGCCGCTCAACTGACTCAGCGTTTCTCTCACAGACCCTGCGCAGCAAGATGGCGACACCACCTCTCACTATTGGCCAGTACCATTGGACGGTGACGGAATGGGTTTGTCCAATCAAAAGGCATTATGTAAGAGGGGCGGTGGAGAGTCACGTGGTTGTATGACGCGAGACGTGTAGTACTACGAACTGCCGCAGAGGCGGGAGGAAGTAGATAGAGAGAAGGAAGCGTTCTCCCTTATTGGCAGGGAGCTGTTGAAAGTAATGTGCCATTTCCTGATTAGTTCTTTCTTAAAGCTTGGTGACACGGCACGAATTTGCCGGTTTCTCGGCCTGTGGTGCAGCCGCAAGCCGCAGACAGAGAAGGGTGAGACCGAGGTACAGCTCTATTTAGTCATTGATTTTTTAAGCACTTGCATACAGTAGTTGCTTAATACATGCTTATTGAATTGAGTTCTCCCAATACTGTAATGAAAGAAGAAAAGAGAACTTCTTTCTCTAATGAATCGGTTCTCCAACTTTTTAGTCTCAGGATCCTATTACACTCTTAAAAATGATTAAAATTATTAAAATTATTACAAACCCCAGAGCGTTTATGTGAGTTATATCTATCAGTATTTACCATATTAGAAATGAAAATTTTTTAAATAAAATTTTAAATGTCAATTTAAAAGAAATCATAAACCCGTTCCATGTTAAATAACACTTTTTGGTTTTTTAATGTATTTTTATTTATTTCGTTAAACATTTTCCAATTGTATTTTTAAAAAATTTTTAACATTAATTTTTTAAAACTTTGAGTTCGAAATTCTCACCCTCCCTCCCCCAAGCAATATATCAATTAAACATGTGAAGACATGCAAAACACATTTCCTTAAGTGTTGCAAAAGAAAACATACATATAAAAAAAAGAGAAAATGAAAAAAGTATGCTTCAATCTGCATTGAGATCATCAGTTTTTGACTCTGGAAGTACACAGCGTTTTTCATCCTGGATCCTTTGGAACAGTCATGGATCGTTATATTAATCAGAATAGTTACTGAAGACTCAGAAAAGAAAATTCTCTCCATCAAAATTCTTGGCACTGTTAAGTGGTTCAATATTAGAAAAAGAGATAGATTTTAAATGAGTGGATTAAAGAAGACTACTTACTTGCTGTTGTACCTTAAGAGCCATGAAACTTCACCATCTGACTTGCAACTGAAACCTGAGAGCAGGGACTATCTTGCTTTTCTATTTGTTTCTTTTATGTTTAGCACAATGTTTTACAAATTTTGTTGTTCTGTCATTTCAGTTGTGTCCAACTTTTTGTGATCTCATTTGGGGTTTTCTTGGTAAAGGACTGGTTTGCCATTTTCTTCTCCAGCTAGTTTTACTGGTGAGGAAACTGAGGTAAACAGTGTTAAATGACTTCCCGGGGTCACACAGCCAGGAAGTGTCTAAGGCTGGATTTTAATTCAAGTTCAAGCTCCTCCTAGCTGTCCTGTTTTATACATAGTAAGGGCTTAATAAATACTTTTTCATTCATTCTAATCCAGGCTACTCTTCTTGTTTGTTTTGGTAGACACTCCCTAATTCCGTCTGTAGCTGTTATCTAGCCACCTTGTACCCCTAAGTCTGTTGAGTACCAATATCTTGAGATTTTTATAGGTGTATAAGATGATGTGTTGGCAAAATAAATTCACAGTTTCGCTCAAGAAAATTTAATGTGAATTATCAGCACATTAGGGGACAGCTAGGTGGCACAGTGGATAGACTGCAGGGCCTGGAGTCAGAAAGACCTGAGTTCAAATCCAACCTCAAACACTTACTAGCTGTGTGACCCTGGACAAGTCATTTAACCCTGCTTGCCTTTATTTCCTCATCTGTAAAATGAGCTGGAGAAGGAAATGGCAAACCACTTTGCCAAGAAAACCCCAAATGGGGTCACAAAGAATCAGACACGAGTCAACAATAAGTACATGACTGTTAAAGGAAACTTCCTAACTCAATACAAATATAACCAAGCTAATAGAAGAAATATTAGCTAAGTAATAAACATACAAATTTACCAAAAATGATTCCTTCATAATGAAATGCCATTCTTAACAATAAACCTAAAAATATAAGGCACAAAATTATTACTGAAAAAAGATGACAATGGATTAGCATAATACCTGTCATCGACACAATGAGGGCTGCCTAGATGCAAGATCACATGGACTTTCTAACTTCTAATGGAGAAAAAATAGAAAGAAGAAAGATACTTCTAATTATTCTGTTCACCCCCCACCCCATCCCCAAGGGTAGCCTTCTAACCACCTCTATGAGCAAAGGAGGTACCCTAAATAGAAAGTCTATTCAGGTTGCTACTGCCTCATGTATAAGCAGAAAGGAAGAGAAAAAGTAAAGAGGAAATACTCCAGCAACTTGACATGAAACCTCACCTGCAGTCAACCTGGATCCTGTTCTTCTAGAGGACCTTCTCAGCTCCTCTCTGCTAAGGGTGAGACAGTACCTCTCTACCTTGGAAGATCTGCCGGTAGAATGAGCTAGTTTGGAACGAGAGGACACAAGACTCCAATTTTTAAAAAGCCACCTGCCCCAATTCAGTCCACTTTTATTACTAGGAATACCACAATATTGAATCGAGATGAACCCAGCCCACTTTACAATGGAAAATCATCCTCTTGTAACCAACATGGAGCAAGGAGATATTTGATCCAGGGTGCCAACATTCAAGGAGATGATGCTTTTTCCCCATAGTAGTTGCATCGAGTGGCATAATGCCAGTGGAGGACCACAAGCCATGAAGGTCTACTAGGGAGAGAAAGCACGCTTTACCAGATATCAGTGCCTTGGAAAAGGAAATATGCGTTCCCCACTCAGGTTCTAAAGCAGTTATGCCTTTCTCTATGAGCCTGCCTTTTCTTGCTGGTGCTACTATACCTGAGGAAGACTACCTGCCTGACATTTGCCCCAGGTACCTACATCATATAGGACTACAGGGATTAGTAGCAACATACATACTAGGCTCAATGTATCCTCAGGGCTCTGTCTTACCCACCTCCTCTGAATTTGCTCCAGGTGCTAGAATTCTTAAGTACAGCTTAATGTGACCCATTTCAGAAACATTCCTGTACTGGTGGAAGCTATGTAAGAGAAAAAGGATGCTTCCTCTCTATTCAAAAAGTTGGGAAGTATTTGTTATCAAACCTGACACCACCAGGAATGATGGGAAGTTGAGGCCCTGCTGGTTTTCTCTCTGAGATAATTGGCTTTTTCACTGTCAATTTGTTTACATTAGTTAAACTCCCTTAGGAAACAATTATTGTTTGTATTATCAGTTCCTTTAATCTCTTCCCATTTTTCTGTATCAATGGGACAGATAGATATTGGACTTTTTACTTCATTAGTTTAGGAAGCTCCCAGATATGCTGACTCCTGGTAAGAAAAAAGGTCCACACCTCCTCTGCAATTTATAATCTTACAGAGTTGCCTTGAGCACTGAGAAGTGAAAAGACTTTCCCAGGGCCACACAGCTCTGTCAAAGATCAAACCTGAATTCAAATCTTCCTGACTCCAAGGCTATCTATTATGCCAATTTGCCTCTTATGCAGTGTGAATGGCTTGTTTAAGTAAGTTCAATTGGAATTTTTTAAATTGTATGCAATATCTTCTAATTTTTGTTCTAATTTTACATTGATTTTGATCTTTTTTTTAAAAAGTAGATGTACACAAGTAGCTGATTCAAAAATAATTCCCATATCACTGTAACTTATTATTTCCTGCCAATTAGAATGTACTCTTTCATTTTGAGGAATGTTGTGCAGTGACCTCTTGCTCTACTTCGAAAAATATATTCATGACATATAGGCATGAAGATTCAATACAGACATTTGGCCCTTTTTATTCCTAAACCTGAACCATATTTTCCAACATATCTTCTACCATCTTACTGTATGCTTATGTTTGCCTCAGAATTACCCTTTAAACTATATTTTGATTTAATGTGGAGAATATTACTGACTTTCTCTATCTCTTCATATTCTATAATGGATGTTGGCACATAATCAGCAAATATCATCATGGTGATCTTTTTAGAAATGTTCATCATGAACACTGGAACATTGTATTGGAATATGCCTTGCCCCATTGTCATTTCCAGTCACTCCCTCTACTTTAATTACTCAGTAACTTCTCCTCCTTTAAAGTTCGTTCAATCCATATTTATCACCCAATCAAGATTCTGGTAGCTATTGTCTACTGATCCCCTGGACATTCTACTGATCCCTTGACCGCTCTCTTTCCTTCCTTGATTAGTGCTATGTCTCCTCTCTTTTGTGGCTAAACTTTTAGACAAAGACATCTACAGCTGATGTCTCCACTTCCTTTTCTTGCTCTTCCAATGACTTCTAATGCCTTCCAATGTCATTAGTCAACTGAAATTTGCACTGTTCAAAGTGATAAAATCAATGATGAAGTAAAATGAACAGAATTTATTGTCTTGTTATATGCTTGGCACCATGCTCTACACAGAAGACAATGTCCCTGCCCTCAAGGAACACACATTACAAGGATGGAAATGCCATGCAGTCAATCAATTAATAAATATTGATTAAGCACCTACTATGTGCCAGGCACTGTGCTAAGTTCTGGAGATACAAAAAGAGGCAAAAGACAGTCCCTGCCCTCAAGGACCTTAATGGGAGAGACAGCATGCAAACAAATATAAACAAAGCAAACTATATACAGGATAAATGTTGTTGTTTGTCCCTCCTTTTGGAAGAGGACCAATTGCAACACAGGGTGATGTCTTGACTTGCTCTTGAATTGGATGTGAGACAGAGTTGCATAAAGTTGTCAGCCTATCTATCTCTTCCAGAGTCATCAAAGTCCAATGGAAAGACACAACTGACGATGGCCCGAGATGCAGTAGATGATCTTGGTGTCTTCAATGTCAAACCAAGCTCTAATGCCTACTTCAGCTGCCTTAGTGATTGTTGGAACAAATTGTTCTCATCTGCCCATTTGGCCAGGGGATGTCTTCACATGCTTGGGGTAGACATCCCTCTAACTCA